ACACCCATGTTTATCGCAGCCTCATTCACAACAGCCATGAGATGGAAGTAACACAGATGTCCTTCAACAGATGAATGAATTTACGAAAATATGGCATATACATAAAATGCAGTGCTGTGTGTGACAGTCGCTCAGTCGTGTCCGACTCTTTGTGACCCCATGGACTGTAGCCTGCCAGGCTCCTGTCCATGGAACTAATTCTCCAGGCAAGAATACTGAAGTGGGTTGCCATGCCTTTTTCCAAGGGATCTTCCCGATGCAGGAATTGAACCTAGTTTTCCTGCACTGCAGGCAGATTCGTTACCATTTGAGCCACTGGGGAAGCCAAAATGGAATGTAAAGCAGCCTTGAAAAAAAGGAAACCCTGTCCCATGCTGCAATATGGACAAGACTCCAGGCCATTCTGCTAAGTGAAATACAGTATAATTCTACTCATATGAACTATTTAAAGGAGACAAAAATCACAGAAACAGAAAATAGGAAGGTGGTGACTGAGGGCCGGGAGGAGGGGAGAGGGGAAACTAGTGTTGAGTGGATATAGAGTTTCAGTGTTGCAAGACAAAAAAGTTCTAGAGATCAGTTGCACAACAATGGGAAGAGACTGAACATGACTGAACTGCACCCTCAACAATGGTTTAGAGGGTAAACTTAATGTTACATGCTTTTCACCACAATACAGAGAAAACTTATTGTGGTGGGTGGTGGTGCAAAGACAAGCCCATCAAGCCCTTCTTCCCTCATCCCCTACTCCTACTCCTTCCTCTTCTCACATCTAACAATATACCCTCTCGACCCAGGGCTCCCCTACACACCGTCTTACTTGGCACAGACCTCCATGCCCTCATACCAGCTGGCCTGCGATTAAAATGGACCAAGTTAGGAAGTGCCAGAGAGCGCACAGCCTATTGTATCGAATTTCTTTGGCCTTTTATAGGGACGAACCCGTGAACCCAGCTAGTACTGGGCAGGGGCTTGAAAACCAAGAGGCCTGCATTGCTCTGCCTCGGACACGGATCAGCTGAAGCAAACCATTTAACCGTGTGGACCTCTTTGCCATAAAAGACACTGGCCCAGGTGATCTTTATAGCCTCCCAGCTCCAAGTCTCTAATTAATTCAATTGCTAAAGAACCCATCGAGAACTTTAGAAGTCTCCTCAGCTGGACTTCTCCAGTGATTCCTCAAGCCCCTTTATCTTTTACTCAACTCCATGTATTTGCTTATTTTAGACACAAAAGCAGTTTTTAAAAATGTTACCAAAATAAGAAAAATTATAAGGTCAAAATTCTACTGATAATAATTTTTGGACCAACACCCTAGGGAGTGCCCCAGGCCTCCCTGAGTCAGCAGAGTGACCCTACAACCACTTCATGCCAGCTTGTGGATGCAGCGTTAAGTCACTCCGGGCACACAGGACAGAGAGGAAGGGGCCCTGACCACCTTCCATGCCTCACTGCAAGTCAGCCAACGTGACTGACACATACATCTAAGCCAGATGCCAAGGTGGGCAAAGAACACAAAAAGATAATCACCACTCAACCCAAGGAGCTCAGGGTCCAGAGGGGACTCTCTCAGAGAGTAAGAAAATAGAGAATTCATTCCACTAAGAAAGCCAACCCATACAGAGGGCAGAGAAAGGGAGGGGATCAGGGAAGTTATCTGTTTTCTATCGTATTCTGGAAGCCCTCCCTGAAAGGGCTGGGTCTGATGGGTCATAACTGCTTTCTACTACAACTTGGCTGAACTTAGAACTCAACAGGTGACTTGAAGGTGAAGGCTGATGATGGAAAAGACAGCCTCTTCCTTCCTCCCTTGCCTAGCAGTCAGCCACACAATCCCCTGATTAAAAAAAAAGTCGACTTTTTATATAATTAGTCCTTACATTTAAACAACCCCAGGGACTTTCCTGGTGGTCCAGTGGTTAAAGACTCCACACTCCCAATGCAGGGGGCACAGATTCCATCCTTGGTCAGGGAAATAAAATCCCTTATGCTACACAGAAAGACCAAAAAAAAAAAAAGCCAAACAAACAAAAGCCCCCAAATGGTCAGGAATGGAAGCATTTAATCTCTCATGATGAGAGTGCCCAGTGCAGACACACGGAGAGGCGCAGTCCTAGTCTGGGTGACCTTGGGCTGGTCCACCTGTCTTCTGCTGTAAACATGTGTCTGATGACTTCCCTAGGGTGCCGGGAAGATGCTTATAAAGTGCAAAGGAAACATGAGAGCCAATATCAGGCACTCATCAGCAACCACCACCACACAAGCGATACATATAAAGGTGTCACTGACTGATTCAGAAACTTTCACCCTGGAAATTCCACCGAAATCATACACTACTCTTTTTCTAGCAGAACTGACACTGCTCCGAAGTAAACAGAGTACTTCCCCCTGTGGCTGCCTCTGGTCGGGCTCCTCTGTGCTCCATCACACCAGCTGCTGAGGAATTTACTTGCCTGCTGACCAGCTGCTCATAGAGGATACGAGCCAGGGAGAAAGATTTCAGGAGCAGACAGGAGAGGTGAGGGAAAACTCTCCACAGAGAGCTTTCCCTGCCACAAGTCCTCAGGACATCAGAGCCATGAGCTCATCCTTTAAAGCTCCTGACACTCATTCTCTGCTCCACAGAAAACTTTATTGTTTACTGGACTCTAGAAAAAAAAAAATCGCTGTACTAGTGGGTTCCCGGCAAGCATTTTTTATCATGCAGTCATTGTACCACATCCCAGGGACTCAGGGAAACACCATATACAAGCACCAGGACATTTTCAGACTAGCTAGAATAATCCCAGTCCTTGATCTCCAGAGCTTCTTACTGGAACACTGCAAACTAAACAAACTCCATGAGAAAATGCACTTCCCGTGCGTGCGTTTAAACATATACACGGTCCAAGCAAGCAGTCATAGACCGGTTCCATAAAGGGCAATCCAAATTAAAAGTGATACTTTCACTACTAGGGAAGACCATTGGATCTGTTCTAATTACGGAGAAATACAGAAGTCAAGAAAAGAGGCTTTCGAAAAGAATGGAGAAGGCAAATGATAAGATACAAAATGATAACACAAACGTGGCTGCAATTTTTAGGTCACAGTTAAGAGACTGCGCTGTCTGGGTTTGGGATTGGTTCCCTCCGTGCGTGTAAGGAAAGAGTTGCTGTGGTCTTCCACTGAGGCACCATGAGATGAGCCCCTCCTTGGTATTTCTGTCTACAGCCCCGAGCCCCTCAGAACAGCGGGCTTATGCAGTCTCTTTAGAAGAGCTAGCAAGCCACAAAACGGCTTGCTTTTCGTTGTCTCCACTCCAAAATCACTCTCCCATAGTTGTTCAAGTTCTCCTGAGGTCAGATTTATTGTCGTTGAACTAAATACAATTTACAGATTTAATGTCCTATTATTTAGTTACCTCTGTGTTATGAAGTATCAAATAGATTAGGCATACCCAAGGATTTTCCTGAACTCATCGAATCAAATTTATTCAGCAAAAGAAATTAAAGTATCAACCTACCTAAATTCTTTACTCTGACACCCTCTCCACCGCTGACATACTGCTATCCCCAGATATCTACACAGAAACCCGAAAGTTCCACGAGGCGTTTTTGGTCCCAGGCAAAAACAAACCCAACCCACCTTTTCAGTTCACATTAACCCTAATTCAACCCCCCTGGGAAATCGCGCCAGATAAGAAATACTAACACCTGAGTATAATTATGAACCCCCTAATGAGCAAATATGAGAAAATGCTGTGTTTTCCTCTAAACAGATCCTATGTAAAAGCCATGTTAAAACACTAGAGATGTTTCTCAAAATGCCCCACAGACGAAGAAAACTGGTTATTTGTTCATTGTCTCTGCAGGGTCCCCTCAATGAACATATTAAATGGGCCAAGCCACAAACAAACTTCAGCGGTTTCAGCTTCTCACTGAAGAAGGCTTTTCCATCTGAGCACTGATGGAACAGTGAAACGAAAGTGCACACCGAACGCAGGGAAGGGAAAATTAATTGGGGGGGATGGACAAATCAGTGTGCTCCTCACGGTGGCAAACTTCACAACAACTTTTTAGAAGCAACAAACCGCAGCACCACTAGCCTTTACAGACATACAGACACGTACATAAATGCTCACACACACCACTACTTGTAAGATAAGTACTGTTTGCAAACATCCTCCACCATCCTGCCTTTACCAGACTGCAAACCTTGGCCAGAGACTGGGAGATTTCTACTCTTAGCTACCCTCTCTGCACTGTCAAAGTGGGAAGGTCATTCTGCCTGGTCACTTCAATCATTCTCCCTGCATCACAGTTTTCTACTTTGGGGTTGTTCAACGTTCAGATGCCTACGAGAGTAAAATAACCATTCGGCAACTTTATTCACCTTGGTTCTTTTTTAAAAGAAAGAAAAGAAAAGAAAGAAATTCATTGTGCAATGCCTAGGAAAAGCTGACAGCATTACTGTCTCTCCGACAAGCGCTTGCAATTACAATGGGGGGGGGGGGGCGGGGGGAGAGAGAGACTGTCTGACCAGACTCGCTGAACCCTTAAAAAAAAAAAAAAAGATTCCAACCCCAATGGAGCCGGAGAACTTTTTTTCCTAAGGAGACCACCCCTCGGGAACAAAAGTTACATTTCGATCACATGTTGGGAGTAGGGAGCAGGTTTGTTTTTTTTTAAGCGCACTAATTACCGGGGTGTTTTACAGACCTGAGGACCACTCGGGTTCCTCCTGACCGACTGTGAGCGGCATTTCATTGTCAAAAAGCAAAGGAGGTGGGGTGGGGGCGCAGGAGCCGACAGGGGGCTCGGCGGGAGCGGGGAGCAGCAAGGTTACACTAGAGGGTACGCAGCCGCCGAGAGCTGCATCTCCTTCCCTGGCGCCCCAAATAATTTCCTGCGAACAGAGCGACTGCAACAGCCCCCTCGGATCGGAGGAGCCCGGCACGATCAGCCGGGCCGGTGCAGCTCAAGGCTTTCCACCCCGGAGAGGGAGGGGGAGAAGATCTTTACCTTAATGCTACACTGAGCAGGAGTCTCAGACATGTCTCACAGCGAGAGAGATCAGGAAGTTCTCAGTTTTTTTTCCACTTTCCTTTCCTCTCCCCAACCCAGAAACGCTCCACGGCCAGCCGGACGCGGTCATTTAAGAAGTTTCTTGCAGCATCTCTCCCGGCGGCCGCCCCGGGGGGCCGCGAGCGCGCGGGGCGGGGCGGGGCGGGCCGCGCGCGGGCCGAGTCGCCGCGCGCGGGGCGGCGGGGGCGTGGGAGCGGGCGGCGCGGCGGCGGGGTCTGCAGGTCGCGGCGCGGCGACCCGGGGCGCTAGCCCGGCCGGCCTGCCCCGCTCTCTCCTCCCACCCGGGCCGGCGCCCCCGCCCCCCGCCCTCCCGCCGCTCTCCCTCGCCCTCCCTCTCTCTCTCTCTCTCGAATGTTTTCCTTCCTGGAAGAGAGAAACTGAAAGGCAGAACTGAGAAAGCTCTTTGCTCATTGATCTTGAGAGTTTCAGTGCAGAAACTGACGTGAATTCCCAGCACTGAGCTCTGCCTCTTAAAGGAGCCACCAGGAAATAAAAGCTCGGGTTACAGCCCGGCATCGGGAAATAAAAGCCGCGCGGGGGAGGGGGAGGAGAGGCCGGCGCGGCGGTCGCGGGGGGCGGGGGGCTGTGCGCGAGGCCCCCGGGGCCCGGGCGCGGGGCTGCTAAGCTCCGCCGGGCCGCCCCCGGGCTCTCGCCTCGGGGCCCCGGAACCCTCCGGACAGGATCAACGCCTCCCCCTCCCCTAGTTCCGTCTCTTGGATACATTGAAAGGCACAGGGCTTTTTTTTTTTTTTTTTTAATTTTTCCTCCGCCCCCCGCCCCGAGCCTAGCGCAGACGCAATGAAAATAATTATATAGGAAGGGACATTCCGGTAAGGACGCGGAACCCGAAGGAGGAAATAAAACAATAGCCTTTGTTCTGCTTCTCGACCGCGGCCTCTTTAAGAGAATCCACCAGGAAATGGGAGATCGGGTTACAGCCCGCACCAGGGAAAAGGGGCGAGCGGGCGAGCGGCGGAGCGCGACGCCGCCGGAGACAAAGCGGGGCTGCTGCCCGCAGACGCCCGCCCGGCCGCGGGGGGGAATTCCCCGCCGAGGTGGGCGCCCCGAAAACGCTAGGAGCGCAGGCGCGCGCCCGGCCGGCCGGGAATGCGGGCGCTGCCCGGCCGAGCACGCGTCCTGGAGAAGGGAAGGCTGCTGGGCAGTTATCAAAGGCGGTTGAGTTCCTTTTCCTGACCACCACCATCCCCAGCCACCCTTCCTCCCTCTTTCGAAATCCGCTGTCCTTTTAAAGCAATAGCGGCCGCTACCAACCGACATAGGTGACTCGACTACAAAGTTGACAGGACGGGTTCCTGGAGATAATACCCTTCCCGGGACCGCTTCTCCGAAGCCGTCACTGGCGGATGGGAAGACCCCCGGGATCCTGCCGGGAGGGTGGGAGGAATATTTGGCTGGGAAAACAATTGAGAGGAGGTTAAAGCCGGTCGGGCTGAAGGTTCTATCCTTGAGTACGTGTTGTCTGATCACTATTATTTTTATTGTTGTTTATAGTCTCTGAAAATGCTCCGACGCGTCCGCCGCAGAAGTGGGCACATTACTAATTATATGTAAATTCTAAACCCTGCTAATACTTTAGGCTTTAACATATCGATGTGTATTAAATTATGAATATGTAGACCACGACTCATTTCCCAGATCCTCCCCATTTTCCTACCCACTTCCCTTCATCTCACCACGTGATAAATCGTGTGCAGACTTTTTTACACGCTCGTTCGAAGAACACTCTGAACCAGGATTTATTTAAGGGGTTGGAATGGGAAAGCCCTGTTTCTGGGAAGGTGGGAATAATGGGATATTGTTGAGTCTCCGAGGACCTCAGCAGTCCTTGTCACCTGCTAGTCCTATTCTTCCCCGGGCGGGCTCACATCCACACCAACTCCTCTGTCTTGAACCACCTGCTGCCCCCTATCCCAATCCACACTCCCGTTATCTGCCTTTGATCCCATGGCTGGTGTTGCTGGCATTGGTTCTGATGTCTCATTGCTGGGTTAAATCCTATGAACCTCTACATCCCTTACTTACCAGTATGATACTTGGCAGCTCACGTTCTCAGCTTGGGTAAAATGGGGTGGTGGTGGGGGGAATAGTACCTATCTCTTAAGATTGCTGTGAATGTTAAATGAGCAGGTATATACGAAGTGATTATCTGAGTGCTTACTACATATTTTACCTGCTCAATTTAGCTACAATTATTTAACCTCAGGAACGAATTAACTCAACTTTATTTTCTCTCCTAACCTCCAGATGACTCACAAAAGGGGTGGTATAAATGAGTGTGTGTGGTCCAACGCAAAATATTGCACTAGCTGCTGTGGCAAATGTCGCATTTATCCAGGGGCTGGTGATCTCTTTCTAGAAAGCTCCTGATAGTAAATATTTTAGGCTTTGTGCCCCAAGAGACAAAATTTAGATTTTGTAGATACTTATATAACAATAGAGGAAACAAATATCCAGTTTTTTTATTGACAAAATATAAGGTGTAATAATAAGAGCTGTAATACAAGTCTAACAGAGGAATGGAACTCTTTTTTAGGGGGATAACATTCACTAAGTTAAACATCAGTTTGAAGTAAATGTTCTCTATCATCACAATTGATTGCAAAGGTTTATCTGTTAATGCGGATCTCCCATGAGATTTTACTTATTTCATTTGGAAATATCTTTTCACCCAGATAGGATACTGCCAAATACATCAATCCATGAGCATATGGTTTTACTTGAGCATATTTATTGCTTATAAGGCAGTTATACAATTTTATTGGAATTCTATAAATTCTCTTGATATTTCCCCTTTAGTATGCCATTACATTGCAGGTTAATCATTTCCAATTGAAAATTAGGTGGAAATGCCTCAATTGCACAGTGAAGTGGATTTTAAATATGAAAATGTCCTTTTCACTTGCGTCAAAATCCAAAACCACTGTTGGAACTGTAGTTTGAGCTCAGAAAAATAGAACTGCTGCAAATTTGTGTTAAAATGGAAGTCTTGCTTCATGTTTTAACTTTTTTAAAATTTGTTTTAACTGAAGTGTATAAAGCAGCTTGATATTGTTTGTGATTCAATGTTAATTGTGTCAAAATAATTTAACTGCAGTATAAGCTTCACATATAGCTGTATTTTGCTTTGCAGTTTTAGGTTGAACTCATGAAAAACATTATCAAGTCTATAACAAACTAATTGCCAAACCACTCAGTATTATGGTTGAAGGAAGTTCTTTTCATTAAAATTCGTTCCCATTTGTCAGGTGTTTCTCTGTTCCTTGTTTCCTGATTTCTTTGGGGTAATAAGGTATTTTTTTCATGTTCCATTTAATTTCCTAGATGGTCTTTCTAGTGTTTCTGTTTCTATGCTGAATATAGTGGTTGCTCTAGAAATTACAATTTGTGTCTTTAATTACCACAGTCTATCTTCAAATAATATTCTAATTTATGGATAGATAAGAAAACTTACAACAGTATAATTTCATTATTACTCTCCCATCCTTTATGATATTGTCCTATATTTTATTTCTACCTGTTATGAAACCCACCATACATTGCGGAGTGGTTGATACTTTTTTCTTAATATTGTAAATATATGTGTATAATGAAGGTACTAAAATATGTCTCTTTTTCATCTGCCTAACTATTTATCCTTTTCAGTACTTTCTTATTCCTTCTTGCAGATCTAGTATTATTTCTTTTTGTCCCCAAGAATCTCTTTGGCATTTCTTAGTGGAGACAGAGTCTTCTCAGCTTTGTCTGTCAGAATGTCTTTAGTTCACATTCAGTTTTGAAGGATAATTTTCAACTGTATATAAAATTTTAGGTTGACAGATTTTTTTTTACTTTTGGCACTTTAAACATGTCATTCCATCTCTGTCTCCATTATTTTTGATTAAGATTCATTTGTAGTTCATATTTTAGCTCCCGGTTTGTAATGTCTTTTTTCTCTGGCTGTCTTTAAGATGTGCTCTATAAATTTGGTTTTCAAAATTGTGACTAGGATGTGTCTATATATAGGGGTTGGTGGTTTTTGTGGGGGTTTTTTTGTATTTATTCTTCTTGATGTTGGCAACTATTCCTGGACCTATAAGTTGTTATCTTTTATCAGTTTTGGAAAACTCTCATCTGTTAGCTCTTTGAATATTCTTTCTGTCCATTCTTTGTCCTATTCTTTTTTTACTCCAGCTGATGCAAGTGTTAGACAGTATGACATTGTTCCATAGACCCAAATATTCTTTTTTTCTTTTAACTTTCTATTTGGATGCTTTCTATTACTATTTATCTCTTTTCTAAGTTTTATCCTCTGTATCATCCAACTTACTGTTAAGCCTATCTAGTTCTTTACTTTGGATACTGCTTTTTTATTTTTAGCATTTCCATTTTTTAATATTCTCCATCATTTCTCTGAAGTTGCTCATATCATTATACACGAGTTCTGCTTTTAAGTCCTTTAGCATTTTTGTTATACTGTTACAGTTCTCAAATATAATGTTTTCTTGGTTAACTTCTTTTGGTTTCCTTTCTTGACCATGAGTTACATTTTCTTACTTGTGTGTGTGTATATTGATATTTTTTACCAGACATTTTATATAAAAATACATACATTATGTAAAAATACACAGTAGAGAATGAATTAAATAATATTTTCCTCCCAAAAGGGGCACACACATTCTTCTATAAGGCTGTTAGAATTGGAGCTGAGTTGATACAATTTATAGTCGAGCCAGATGTGGGCTTTGTTGTAATTGTGCAGTTTGATTCAGGCAGGATCAGAACTTTTCTTAGAAACAAATACTGTCTGAGTACTGTTATCTCAGCTGTTCTGCCTTGCTTGGTGTCTTCATTATCTTTCAAGCTTTTGAGTAAGTGCTCCCTTCTCTCTGCCCTGACCTTTTGTGTTAGCTGAAGGCCTGGAGTGCCATGGGTTTTCTCTCAGTTCTCCCACCCTCTACAAGTCTTTCTTA